TTGAACAGATGTAGAATTGGGTACATGTGATGATTAGATTGTTGAAAATTCGTCGATGCATTAAATAATGGGTTTAAAATTTAAACCACAATTTACTTTTATCTTGAAAATTTTCGATTGCTTATCGTTTTATTATGTAACCAAGAATATTTATTTCAAGAATCTTAATAAATTTACCTGTGAATGACTTCTTTTACTAATTTGGTCTTAGTTAAGACTTCAAAACATTGTTTCTTGCTCTTAAAGATTCGTTTTTAGAGACATGAGTACAAACAATTGTTCTGTTTCTCTAAAATCTTGAATTACAGGTGTTCTTCAGAAGTTATTGTTAGTGTTCATTATCGGTATAGCTGCTTCGACTTATCAAGCGCTTCAGCCTCCTTCTCCAAAGCTTTGTGGCTCACCTGATGGTCCATACATTAAAGCACCAAGAATTAAGCTTAGAGATGGAAGACATTTGTCTTACAAAGAGTATGGAGTTCCTCGAGATGAAGCTACCCGAAAAATCGTTGTTGTCCATGGTTCTGATAGTTGCAAACATGATAACGCTTTCGCAACTCTACTATCACCGGTACATTTCAAATCTTCTTTGTGATAAACTCATGTCAAAACTCATTAAAGATCTAAACTTTTGATGTTATATCAATGTTGTAGGAATTAAAGGAAGGATTAGGTGTGTATATGGTTTCATTTGATAGACCTGGTTATGGAGAGAGTGATCCGAATCCAAACCGTACGCCTAAAAGCTTAGCTTTGGACATAGAAGAGCTTGCTGATCAGTTGAGTCTAGGATCTAAATTCTATGTCATCGGGTACTCGATGGGAGGACAAGCGACATGGGCATGTCTTAAGTACATTCCTCATAGGTATGGCTTCAACTAAAAGCATTGAAAGGAATGATTTTGTTGTGAATGTCTCTGTTTTTTGATGGGTCTTGATTCTTTAGGTTGGCTGGAGTAACGCTTGTTGCTCCGGTGGTGAACTATTGGTGGAAGAATTTTCCATCAGACATCTCAAATGAAGCTTATTACCAACAACCGAGAAACGACCAATGGGCGGTTCGTGTTGCACACTATGCTCCTTGGCTTACTCATTGGTGGAACTCTCAGAAATGGTTCCCTGGATCAAGTGTTGTGACCAAGAACTTCGGTATTCTGTCTAAATCAGACAAAGAGATCATGTTTAAGATCGGTGCTGCTCGTAGGCCACATGAGGTTATTATATATATAAACATTTCTTTCATCGCTCCTTCTTCTTCGCCTTTTTATGCATTCATCGATTATAATTCTCTTTGTTCAGGCAGAGATAAGGCAACAAGGAACACACGAGACATTGCACCGTGACATGATTGTTGGATTTGGAAAGTGGGAATTCGATCCAATGGAGCTCGAGAACTTGTTCCCGAACAAAGAAGGATCGGTGCACTTGTGGCAAGGAGATGATGATGTGCTTGTGCCTGTGACACTGCAACGTTACATTGCGAAAAAGCTTCCATGGATTCATTACCATGAGATTCCTGGAGCAGGGCATTTGTTCCCACTTGTTCCAGGAATGGTTAATAACATCGTTAAGACGCTCTTAACCAATGATGAAGTCAAGAATTAAGAAAAAAAGCTGATCATCTTCTTTTTTAAGAAAGATGGCTGATTTAGTTTTGTTACATCATGATTGCTATAAATACTTTTGAAGCGATTAGTAAGAGATTCATGAGCATCTCAAATTTCTTTATTGTAGATCTTTTGATTACTGATATATTTTGTGGGTGGTTGGTTGGTAAGAATATTAGTAGGCTACGTAATAGTTTTTATAATATATATATATAGTTTTTTATAATTTTAAAAGCTAAGTTTCATTGTTCTTTTTATGTCTGGAAATCTGAAACTGAGCTACTACGTTTTTGAAGCCACTTGTGTGTTCGGTGTTGGAAAAAAGAACACAAAAGTGTGACACCTAACCGGGGTTGTTGCGTAGAAAATTGAATCTTCAATTTTTATTTTTTTCTGCAAAGACTTTTTAGTTATGCCGATTCAAGAGAGAATCCAATAAACGCCTACAATGAACGATTAATGAAATATATTAAACCAATAGGAAACTGTATTAACAATCCGACCTTAGCTCAGTTGGTAGAGCGGAAGACTGTAGTAGTTGCTGTGATCTTTAGGTCGCTGGTTCGATTCCGGCAGGTCGGATAAATTTTTAACATATATCATTGATTTGTTCATGTTTTTCTTTAAACAAAAACTCTTTGTTTATTAAGCATCATTAAATTAAATAAACAATTAAAAAATCCGTTTAGGTAGAAATAATGTTTTTAATTTTTTTATGTAGAAGTAAATAAATGTTTTCAAATATATGAAAAGAAATTAATATCTCAACTTCTGAATCAACCCAATATTT